GGAAGATCGTCAGCCGGAGATCGTTCTCGATCTAAGCGAGACGAAGAGGCAATTTTCATATTCATTCATGGGAATTGGTTCGAAAAAGAGTGTCAGCGGCAGATCGTTATCGATTGTTATTAACTCTCCCTTCCCATTGAAATTTATTATTTTATAAAATATTTTTCACTTCATCACACTCCCACCCCATTTTGGACAGCCTGTATCCCAATCCTAGAAAAAAGGCTTGGTTCTGGGTGAAATGATGTAATTGAACTTAATTGAACAACTGAGCTATGATTTTTGGGCGAATTAAATTTATTTTAAATTTACATTTAACCGTACCTGGGAATTTTGAAAATCTGTGCTTAGAATTCTAAAAGGTCAGGTTACGCCCCTGATCCTTAACCTACCCCTCGCTGGTTAATTACTAGTTTACTTAACATCACAAAACGCAGTAGATCACTTTCCTGAAACCGCACTAATACGTGTATCAACAGATTTGCTCGTGGGGTTTATGTAAAGGGGGGTTGATTTTAACTTGTGTATAGGCAATGCTTAGGTTTTGCGTAGCTCGTGAAGTTTATATGCACTTTTTCTCAAAAATGTTTTAACATGTCCTGCCCCACCAGCCAGCTTTTGTTCATTACATCCTGGATATAGCGGTTTCGTTCGTGTCTCTTAAATATATGAGTCGTCGTAGAAACTTCCAAAACTTTACTTGCTTCATGAAAGTCTACCCTTCCACATCAAAGTCGAACATTCTGCGTGTGTTGCTAGACTTTGCTTTGATTATTTACAGCGACACAAGTTGATAGAAGTCTTATCCGCCCTGACGCGTAAACAAGAGTTGCAGCTCTTTGTTAGTTACGAGCTAATTGCACTCTTAACCTACCCCTCGCTGGTTAATTACTAGTTTAGTAAACAGTACAAAACGCAGTACAAAACGAAGATCACTTTCCTAAAACAGAAAAAAAGCCCTGTATCAGTTCATATATGCTATCTCACCCATTATCACTACACAAATATGAGCAGTAACTGTCGTGTGTACTGGGTAAGGGGGTGGCAGTGAAACATTTGTAATAAATATAGATACAAAGAATGTTCGCATCCTTCACCCCCTGGTAAATAATTACAAAATTGGGTGATATGTATTGTAGGGTGGCGTTTCGTTATTGTTTTTATTATCTTATCATTTTCTTTTGTGTGAACGTTCTTTGTCATGAAGTGCGTTGAGTCAGATGGTTTTATCCCCCGAATAGCTGACCGATTCACTGTCCATCTCATGCGTGTGGTAGTTGCTTTATATATATATTTGTTTTAGATTTGTTCGCAATGTATGTATATTACTTGGTATACGTTGCGGTGTACAGAATGTGGTCACAGACGTAAGTATTTGCATCGTGATAGTCTGGGCATCGAGATCTAGGTGGAGAAGGCAAATTAGGTTAATAACGAAGTTTATGGCCATAGTAATTAGTGGTCGATTTCTCACCTCATTCTCTTCAACCAGAGGCAGTAACAGATAACCATCGCCTGTCTTTATTTCAGGGACAATAGTGCTGTCTCATGAGAGCATTGATAGTTTCCTACTCTTTTGTCACTTCCTCTTCCATTGTCTGCTGAGGTATGTCCGATGAATACCGATAAGGACAGAGACATCAGCACGCATATAACAATACTTCTGGAAGGCTCAAAATTATCACAGTTTATGTAATTTTATTTCAAAGATCAACTAAAAGATTGAAAGCACTCACTACCAACACTCGGAATTTGTACAAATACTTTTTTCGAAAAGAACTTTCTCAAACGGAATGTTGAGATGTTGGTATGTGCTTTGTAGGCTGTTGATTGAGATCGGGTTCAGCCCCGTCATAAGAAAATATATGTTATAGTGATCCAAAACTATGCGATATTATACTCATTTTTGCTTTATTCTTATTTAAGATATATTATAATAACACCTGTAGGTGAAATAAGAATGTAGTGATGAAAAAAAAGTAGGAGGGAATACCAGAGGACTAACGGACTCCTTATATAAAATAATGACAGGGAGAAAACCTGATGTGAGAGTGGCCTTTGTCTTCTGTCTTTCTTTCAAATTTTACTGCACTGCAGATACCAATGTTTCTAACTTTTTGTTGAAGAATGCTGATACTGGTACGTGTTACTTTGGAACGCTTGACCCACGTAGCATCCTAGGGGTATTTAAATTTTCACTGAGACAGGAAAAAAAAAAACAGAAGAAAAAATTGCTGAAGTGTTTCCTTTTATTCATACTGATGAATCTGTTATCTGTTTGCCAAAAATCATTTTTGGTTTGACCACATTCTCTATTGTGTCTGTCTGAAGAGAAAAAAGGATACAGGGTATATATTAGAAGCGTTTTACTTGGGAGGGGGGTCTACATATTCAATTTGTGTATGCGTACATGAAGAACAATTGTATTATTTTAAATAAGGTTTAATTACGTTTTGTTTACATTAATACAAACGCTGGATAATTTTTACAGAAAGTTAATTGTCCTTAAAACGTCCTATATTTTATCAAATTTTCAGCAAGCAATAATCTGTAAAATGAAGCAAATAAAAACAAACAATTTAAACACTGAAAATTCTTATGAAAATTAGGCTATTTAAGGGACCTTTTATTACTTCATATGAAAAACGGACCTATTTAAAACAACAACTTTTACCAGCAAGAAAATGTTGATAACAAAATAATACTGAACGTTGCATGCAGTGAATATGTTAGTTCGAATGTTAGTTTGATCTTTTTTTCCACAATTTAAAAGTTTAACTTTTTTTTAGTTTTAACTTGTTACTTAAAAGTCTAATTTAGTTTAATAGTGTAACCGAACAAATGTTGATTCCATGCAATTAATGGTTATAAAATTTAAGTTGTCTTTTAGGTGAAACATTAAAACAAAAATAGTGAGCAACATGGCAACATAAAAATGACCGCAAACAAACCAATAAATTAACACTGTCGTCGGATAAGGCATGTACATGTGCTTACATCGTCTGAATTANTACATGTGCCTACATCGTCTGAATTACCTTTGTAACCGTACTTGTAACCTGGAATTCAATTGGATATAAAAGTGTAAAGTAAACAAAAAGGTTACTGAGGTGCATAAGCACTTTTAACAGTTCTATCTAAAAGCTATAACGGCTTTGTCGCAATGTAGTTAGCGCGTTCTTGATATTGTTGCTTGCACATGTAAAAAATGGCGCCAATGAAATATCAGCCGCGTGCTCAAAGTCGACTCGACGCGGAATGTAGTTATTGTTTTGAAAATAAAGTTTTTGTGAATGGTGGCCTGAAAAGATGTTTACAGTGTAATATGAAGTTTTAAAGAACATATTAAACCACGGCAGCATTAGTATATTCATATCAAGCAGACTCTGTGCATATACGCTAGTCATGCCCTGCAATGTGAGGGTCACGCTGTCGAGATCGCCCGGTAAACTGTTCAGGTAAAATTTAAGTAATGCTCGGCAAATCCATAGTGAAATAAGTCAATCAAGTTGTCTAGCGAGATATATGATGCAAGCACGTTCCACAAGGTTATGATTAACTGAAGCGATCTTAATAGCTGATTCAACGAGCCACACGTCGTTTACCGGATTACATAACAAGCAAAGATAAAGTGGTGTTGGCGTCCCGCTGCGGCTTCAACAGCTTATTTTGACAAGGCTCGCGCTACGTGCTGGCTTGAGAAAAACATCATTGTTAAACCTTAGTGTCGATGCGTTAATTACTTATGGTCGCATTGTCTTCTTCCCACGGCGACCATTCATAAAAAGGGGGCGTAGTTAGGTATTAGACGAATTTTTTAATCACCCAACGCGTTAGTGGTGCGTTGTCCTCTGACATAATCCGTTACCTGTAGTCCTAGGATTGGAAGTCCTGGCACCAAATATGATGAATACAGACTAATGGCCCAATTTAATGAGGTCGGAGTACTGGTATATGCACTATATTTTCTAGTTACATGTAGCAGACTACATGTACCATTGCCATTGGCATAGTGTTATCTTTTTGGTGGGCATAGGTGGCAATTTCCAGACAGTACTCATGGTGATTGCAGTGATTTGTCAACATCTGACTGGACAATGGTGCAGAGATGAAGTCATAATTTCTGGAACCTATTGGCTTACATGTCTTTTACAATCAGCCAGCTACATTGTCATTGTTGTCTAAAATTTGCTTTTTCAATGGCATGGTTTGGCAAAGGGTCATATTCTCTTTTCATATATTTCTTTTCTGTTATGAAATTGTTTATACTTTTGATGTATTGCTACATATTTTCTCTATGTATGATTTTAATTTTTGTTCCTCAGGCACCTAGACAATCCATCTAGTGGAGTGTTGGGGATACAATGGAGAAAGCTGGTGATGAAATCTTACCTAGACTTTATAGACTATAGCCAACATAAGAAGACCCTAGAGTTTGAGAGGATACTTGAACAGGTAACTCACCTTTTCACTATCAAGGTGTTTCTGTAATTTCCAGTATCTGTAGTAGAGAGGGGGGGTCCTGTGTCCTCTGAAACTCACAGTAGTAATGCTTGATTAATTTTTTAGAAAACAAATAGTTTGGCCCCGATTTGCAATAATTCTACAATGACATTTTAGCTTGGTTCAACAATGTTTCAACGATGATTAGTCTAAATCAAAACAGTATATATTTAACAGCCCACTGCATACATATGATAACTGGATTTTTTTTTTAAAAAGTGAAATATCACTTAATAAACTGCAAAAATTATATTTTGTTTTGTAATTAGAATAGAATAGAATAAAATATAATAGAATAGAATGAAAAAAATCTTAACCATTTTTTACTGTAGGTTAACACTGTGAGACATCATCACAGATAAGAGAGGACAGGGAAAATCATAAAGTTAACTAGTTTTGCTATCTTCAAATGAAATTGAAGTCAATGAAATTCCCCTCCCCTGTGATCTAATGGTACCAGACCAAAAGAAACTTCACAGTAGTGGTGCATCAACAACATGGCTGGCAGAAAATTTGTAGAAGTAGGTAGGGAGGGGCTGGATCTCTTATGTGAATTGGAGTTGACTCCACAGTCTGAGACACCAAACATTGTAAAGGAATGGAATTGCCTTCATTTTAATGATGCTCATATAGACAGCCTACCTGAGTCCATTGACAGGTGCATCCATGCTAGAGTAATAGAGACTGCATGTAACAGGTTATCTTGTTTACCACAGTCCATATTCAACATGCCACAGCTCATAAAATTGGACCTCTCTCTCAATGCCTTCAATTCATTCCCTATTGTACTAAGTGGCATGACTAGGTTACAGAGTCTTAACCTGTCCTACAACCATCTATCTGAATTACCCATGCAGATCAGTGGTATGACAGGGCTTAAAGATTTCAATATCGGTTTTAATAATTTCACTACATTTCCCACAGCACTGTTAAACATGAGTAAGTTAGAAACACTGACAATAACTGGCAACATGCTATCTAACATACCAGTTGAGATCAAGGACATGACCGGGCTTAGAAAGTTCCTTCTTTTTTGCAATTGCTTCACTATGTTCCCCATAGCACTGTGTGGCATGGCTAGCCTAGAGAGGCTATACTTGGGTAACCTAAAAGGGCTGCAAGGGCATCACAACCACATATCTTATATACCAGCAGATATCGTTTCAATGACTGGGCTGGAATCACTGGATCTGGAGTCCAATAAGGTCACACACCTGTCACCTCAGATAAGGAATATGAAAAGCTTGCTGGAATTAAATGTGAAGGGGAACCCCCTGGTGCAACCACCAGAGCATGTTGCTGACAGAGGACTTGATGCAATCAAAAGGTATTTTGAAGCATTAACTACCACCAAGGGAATCCTGTCAAGTAGAATACAGGTCAACTTGCTTGGAGAAACAGCAGCAGGAAAAACTAGTCTTTCTCACACACTGCAGAGAGGAAACCCAACACTCACAACAGTAGCAGACAGAACAAGAGTGGTGGAACAAGGAACATGGGTATATGACCAAGGTATTGTTTTCAATATCAATGACTTTGGGGGACATGATATGTACAAAATAGCACATCCTATTTTTATGTCCAAACACAGCTTGGCCCTAATCACATTTGACCTATCAGAGTATGATCCAGCACGTTATCAGTTCTACATTGGAAACTGGATTGACAAGGTACAAGAAAAATTGCCAGGTATAAAGATGGCAATAGTGGGAACTCATATTGATCAAGTTTCAGCCTACAGTGCAAAGTGTTCTTTTAGTATAATTAAAAAACAACTTGAATACCACAGGCAGAGAAAACAGAAATGGTATCAGTCTCAAATAAAGAGTATTGAGAAGAAAATTCTGAACACAGATGGAACCCAAACATCTATACTTAAAGCCTATGAAGATAAAAAGAGTAAACTGATGGCCTTACAAGACCAAGTCATAGTCATCCATCATGGCATGTTTGTGGTGAGTTCCAAGACCTCGGAGGGAATTGAAGAACTACGAAACTACCTTACTACTGTTGCAAAAGAACGTGCTGTAATTTTACCAGAAATGTGGGTTGATGCTGCCACCATGGTTTGCAACAAGAAATATGAAGGCTCTGAAAATACACTTGGCTGGGATAAGATACAAGACCTTATTCTGCAGTCTGCCCCAACCCTCTGGAAAGAGAGGAGACCTTCCAAGAAAGAGCTTGATTTGGCAACATATGACATTTTAAGTTTTCTAGCTGACCGTGGTGACATCATTTGGTTTGATTCAAGCCCTACTCTGAAGAAAGTTGTATTCCACAAGCAAGAAGTTCTTGCCAATATTCTCAAAGCAGTCCTTAATCATGATAGTGATGCTGTTAGGTTAAATCTCCAACAGTCCATGAGTATTTCAGAACCAAAAGCAAAGAAAATCCATGCTGACATCTTCAGCAGAGGCATCATTTCCAGAGAAGCAATGGACTGCTTATGCGAGCCTTTCAGATTATTAACCACTGAAGCCGATGTCATGGTAGAACTGATGCAGAAACTGGAGCTGTGCTATCAAGTTCAGGAGGATCCACTGGTTCCATCCAGCATTTCATTCCACTTTACCTGGCTTTTTATGCTGGAGAGACAGCCTGAGTTGGATGAAAAATGGCCCGGCAAAGTTCCCCCAGGCACCACACAACTAACCCTGCAGATCTATTTTCCATTCAGCTGTCCAGAAGGCATATATGAGAAATTGTCTGTTCGTCAGCACAAGTACCTTGGACTTTTGAAGACCAAACGTATTGATTGGAAGGATGGGGTGTATGCAGAACTTCAAGAATGTCAAACCCATATTTCCCGACAGGAAAGTCGTCGTCATCCTGCTAGCAGCACCTCGGACAGTATCATCACTATAGCCGTACGTGGAACAGACCTCTCAAAGATGTGGTCTGTTTTTACTTGTGCTCATGATGACCTCATGGACATCATCAAAGAAGAGTGCCCTGGGGTGTGCTATGACAAATACTTGGTGTGCCCCCACTGTACAAGTGAAAACTGTGAGGATCCCACACTCTTCCCTGGAGAGATACTGGACCAGACCTATCTGTCTGGGGGCGTCTCTAAACCAAAACAGGTGCCATGTGTCAATACTGGTGTCTCCATTCCTACAGACCTGGTCTACCCACCACACCTGACCATGGGCTGGCAGGAAGGTATGAGATTTAGTAAATTTTAATTCCCAGTATTTTCTATTTGTTTCTTGATGAAAAAAAAGGTAAAATAGGAATATGTTGCACATTTTATTTGCCAAGTTTGTTCTTTATAACCAAACTAGTGTGAGGAAAAACAGCAGCAATGTTGTAACATTGTATCTCCTTGTATGAAAGCTTGCATTTTTTTGCATTTTATTGATACTATTTCAGTTGTCAAGAAGAACAAGAATAAGCTGAAACAAAACATCACTGAACCTTGTCTCTTTGACTTGATTGATGTCTTGATCCATGAAGGCATCCTGTCAGACCGTGAATCTGAGTGGATAAAGACATCTGATGAAAAAAATGCTGTTTTCTTGGACTTCCTGACTATGAAACCAGACAAGGCATTTGATATTCTCTGTCAGTTTTTTGTTGAGCATGGGCAATATGATCTTCTCAAGCTGATCAAATACTAAAGAACATATGTACTATGTGGTATTGTGAAGAATCAAGTCCCCAATCCCTATAATGACTTTTCAAACTGAATGTTGAAAATATTCACTTTGAAGAGGCATGGACATGAATAAAAACACTGCAATAGTCAAGAATGAGCAAAAGTGAAGAACTGATGGCAATTTCAAGACTATGCTCACTGCCCCAATGTTATATTACTCAGCTTCAGCTAAAACATTCTTATCCAATGATGACATTGTTATTTACTGAATAGAGAATAAGAAATATTGGCAGGCCGTAGACAAAGAAGCACAATTAAGATAATCTGAATATCTTGTGTAATTAGACATGTTGCAGAAATCTGTAATAAATCTGTAATATATTATATTGTACATGTACAGGGTGGTCTGGTTCTGGAAATACGCTTGGCCAAAAAAACCTTTTTTTTTTCTGAAACATTATTATTTTGAATTATTACTATTATAAAAAACCATATACAGTATAAAGCTTAGGAAAAAAAATTAAACCCAACATTGATGGAAAATGCACCCACCATTCCTTACTTTATTTTACACTGAAGATTTTCAAACTAGATTACATTTTAAATTATTGTACCACCAGCATGGCATTGGCGGTATACAGTTCTAGTCCTGACCCGATGTCGCTGTTACCGTTTCTCCTCCTAGACTACAAGAGCCTGCATACCCATCTTTTGGATTTATGTCACATATAATGTCAAATCAATCCACATAAATTTTGAGCTTTGTTGGTGCATGTGTCTAGGTGTGGCGCTTGGTGCCATGCACTTTGTCCAAAGATCACAAAAGTAAATGCTAAATATCTCGCAAACCAAAAGAATCATGGGAAAATTACTATAGATGGCTGAGCAAAAGTTGTGTGCAGTTTATTTGTGCCGATTTTCAGAAACTACACAGACCTAACCCATTATATTATGGAAAGGTGTTAATATAGGGGGCAATCTTTTATTTTCGCAAGTTAGAGGTCAATCAGTGCATTATGGGAGAAGCAGCTATTTGATGCTTCGAAACTGAAAACTCTCTATAATGCCCATGGTTATTATTAAACTTGAATAGGAGCATATACTGGCAATCTAACTCTGACCTGGAAATTGACCTTTCACCTACTTTTCATGATGAACTGCTTTTTGCAAATTTTCTATCCCTTATATCTACAAAACTGGCAGAGATACACCCATATAGTTACCACTGAACTTGTACAGGAAGGCACATCCTGGCAATCTTACCTTGAAATTGACCTTTGACTTACCTTTTACCATAAACTGTACTTTGCAAATTTCCTGTCCCTTATATATTTAAAACTGTCAAAGACATGCGCATATAGTTACTGATGAACTTCTTGCAATCTAGATGCAACCTGGAAATTGACCATTCACCTACATGTACTTTTCACCATAAACCACACTTCCAAATTTCTAAGCTCTTATATTTACTGGTACTTTTGAACTTGGATGGGAAGTCCTATGTTCTCAATCTTACTGCAACCTTAGTGACCTTTTAATTTTCCCCTAAAGTTTTGTTATAAATTGTAATTTTCTACAAAAACAAGTACATATATTTTTTCACTGTATTTTGTAAAGCAACATTGGGGGTGGTGTTCCTTTTTTGTTTTCCATACGAAGGCACATACTCTAGCTGGTTATACAATACCTGGAAATGGTATTGCCTCTCTGTTCCTCTAGTCGAAAAAACAGTTCAAAGTTTTCATTTTTTTTTTTTTTTTTTTTTTGGTGGTCAATTGTATATGGAATAGATATGGATCAAAGTGTTAAGCGAAAATCATCTCCATTATAGCTTGGCTGTGATATTTATAACCAGCCAACAAACAGATGTGTTACAAATTAACCTGTGCCTTTTTTATTATGTATATACTTCTTTATGATGTTGTGTAGATAACAGATAGACAGTATAATGTGACAATATCCACTAATTTTGTAATTTTAATCATAATTGTTTAGAACATTCATGTCATTCATAGATGTGACCTAGTTTTAACATACTAAAAAGTGAGTTGTAGCTTCACAGTTAATTGTTAATTCTTTTCTGTTGAATGAGTGCATTGTATTTATGGTGATTTTAAGCTTTTGATTGATTTTATACTATATTAGATTTTTATGCTATATTAGAGCATCCATATCAAGTCAGTTGATATCCCCAAATGAGGACATATGAAGACATTTTCTAAAGTTTGATCTACTGAGCATCAAGGCATTATGAAAAGAAAACTTATTACTTATTACTATTTACTATTACTAAAACTTATGTTACTTATTATTATTTTTAACTTACAAGTATGATTTTTAGGATTGGCATGCAGTTCAAATTTGAAAGCCAGCTCAATTAGGTTATCATTTATCATTGAATTTATGCAATTTTGTGTGAATTTTTCATTTTTCTCATTCTGGCATTTTCAAAGTGTGAACTTGAACTCCCATGGGCCTGAAGCCTTATGATTGTTACACATTTTACTTACATTGGTTTTACCTGTTGAGCATAATTGAAATTTGACGATGAATTTGCAGTTAAGCATAATGTACTTTTGCTTCAGAATTGACAGTGGCCTATTTTGTGCATTGTTATTTCAGCTTTTTGTCTGTACATTTGACAGCTTTGCATTCCTTGTTTGAAAGTTTTATTTAAAATTAACAAGCCTTAATAACCTTAGAGTACAGTTGATAAACTTAAAGGGCTAATAACTCTTTGTTTTGGCCAAAAAAATAATTTTCCTGGAGTTAACAACATTTTTCCCATACTTACCAATGGTTAATGAATCCATTTTACATTCAAAGTTAGTCCCTGTTTTTTTCCTAAAAAGTTTGTTTTTTTGTTATAATCTCTTAAGAGTTAAATCAGTCATTAAATCTTGGCTCCATTCGCAAGGCAGCTGGGGAGGCGGAGAGACTATTAAAAGATTAGACGGTTTTCCTTTCATGTACGTCTACAATATTTAGGTTGTGGCTTTGTAGAGCCATGGCTCAACTCAATGTGAATGCGGCCTTATATTTCTATGAGTTGTTCATAATGTTTTCATTATTATTTTCCCCTGTTAGTTAAACATTCAAAAAAGGTCATGCCAATTCTACTAAAAATAACCCAAATGGTGTTAATACACAAAATATCTCAGTGTGTTTCTGTAATTGATGAATTTTGTGGAATATAAATACAATTTTTCTGTTTTCCAGATCCTCTTAACAGTGTTAGATATTTTTTTAGAGTCACGACTTTGGGTTGTCGTTTCTTTCTGCCTTTGATTTTCTAAAAGATCAATAAAAAAGGGAAAGCTTTATACTGTTTGTTTTGAAAATGATATCTTATTTTTTCTCAACCTCTCTTTTTTCTGTCTCTCATAAGCTATTCCATTAAAACACATCAGCAGTTTCATAAAAATATCTTTGTAAGTTGCATTAGACAATTGGAAGCCTAATATTAAATGTGTCTCTTAGATAAAATGTTAAATTAAATAAAATTTAAATACTTAATTAAAATAATAATATTACTACATAACCACCTGAAAAATACGAAGAGATGGACAGGTATTTTGAGTATCATGACGTTTATCAAATTTACATATGAATGTTCTACTTAAGAATAAAACTTAATTTTTTGTTTACATTTCTATTGTTTACATATTCATCCTTCCTCACTCAATAAACATACGGCTGTTTCACAATCAGGGTGAACAATTAAATGTGGTTAATGTTACAAGTGTCTGATAAATTAGCAATTTATGATTAGAGATTGCTGATAGACTGATATCAAAGACACTGTTCATAGGAGCAAAATAAAAAAAGAATTATAATAATGGGACTACAATTTACAAAAATATAGCCAATTATGTGCTCAAAAATATCTTTTTTTAGCTGTTACGGTGGGTCATTTGCAATTAAGGTCATAAATATGATGCACTAGCTCTTTATGTGTATGATTTATGGTGAATATGATATTGTTATATATACTTCCCACAACATATGTCTTCTCTTCTAGCAAATTCTTCCAAAGAAATATTTTGAGAAAAAAAATTATTTTAACCATTTTGCCGAAACAGGCTTTTGTACACATTTTACTTTTTTTTGTTAATGCAATGAAAAACATATTTGATAAGGACAAATATTACTTTGAAATCACCTACGTGATAATAAAATGACTTTACCATGTTAATTATGACTTAAACATAATAAAGGAGTTGTGCATATGTAACCATTATTAATAATGCTATGGTATTTATAATCATGAGCCCCTTGGTCTCTCCTAATTTTTGTAGTGTCCGTACCCCTCTATCTGTTTTATTTAGGAATCACAGCATATTCTGTTTGGTTTTATTATTTTATGTATGTCCACACTGACATTTATTTTTCAGTAAGAAAATGGCACTTTACCCCTTATTATGAAAAGATATGCAAGAATTTGGTGCCAAATGTAGTGTCTGTACCCCCAAGTTATACATTAACTATTGGATAACTGGCTACATATCAATGATGATAAAACTTCAAAATATGGTATAAAATATTGATCTAGATTGTATAAAATGTATTCATGTCCTATGATGTTTAGAAAAAAAAAACATTGTATATAAATGCATATTCGATAAAGTGATACTAATTAAAAAGAGTCAGGGAAGACATTTTGCAAAAAAATAATATCAATAAAGATGCTACTCTTTGCATTCAAAATTAACAATATTGCTTCCAATGTATTGCCAAATATAGATAATTGCAAAATAATAAATTGTATATGGATTAATCTTTTATGGATTAATGTATATGATATATTTTGAGGGGGTACGGACTCCACAATACATGCATAATTAACAGATGTATATTTATAATACTCTCAGTGGATGAAGTATCCAATATGGATGACAATGAACAAAAGCCAAATAGGAAAAGAAAAGGGAAACCTGAAATTTTTACTGTCAGCAAAAATAATTTTTAAAAAAATCAAAAAGCTAATAGTCATATGCATGCTGAAGCACGTAAGGAAGTTGT